GAAAACTGGTTAGTAGCCAAACGTTATAAAACGTATTAAAATAGTTCAAATGTCGGAGAATATAACGTTATTGGCAACCAAACGTTATAAAAAATGTATTATTTTATAAAATTTTCAATATTATGTTGAAAAATAGTATTTTATATACGTAAAACTTATCAACTAAAATCTCTACGTTACATGTTTAACCAATAACGTTTTTTATACCATACAACGTTAAATTTATGTTGAAAAAACGAGTCTTTGCTCATCGGGATGCAAAAATTTTATTATATTAAAATATAAATACAGAGGTATTTTAATTAATTTTTTTTCTATTAATAAACAATATTCGGGATCTCATTCATCGGAAATAACATTTTGATCTTCAACTTCGGACGATTCTTCGTCATCGCTTTCTTTTTCTGTTGTTTCTACAATATCTTCTGAAGTGGATAACGATCTCTCTACCTACAGAGCATATATATCCGCGGAACGAAGAATACACCTGCAGAAGCAAAGGCAGTACAATCATCGTTATTTTACTGCCGATTCACCTAGGAAAAATTTTTAATTAATACGACGTGTCCTGGGGAACTAGAATCCCCAACTAGTCTTACTGGCTATGCCGACAGTAAATTAAGAATGGTTCTAATTAATATTCGATCAATACGGAATAAGACTGATGAATTGTATTTGTTTTTGGAAGAGTTAGGGTTTCCCCAAATAGTTGCTATTACAGAACACTGGTTACAAGTTGGTGAACCAGTTTTTGTCGAAAAATATACTATCGTCAGCAGATATGATAGAAGTAATACAGACCATGGTGGAACTCTAATTTTATCCTTAGACAAGGACTTTTCTGCTGTATCTAAATACGACTTTCTACAAGCTGAAAATTTCTTCGAATTTTCCATTGTAAACAACAAAAACATTGATTTGTTTATTATTTGTATTTATAGAACACCTAAATCAAATGTTCACCTCTTTCTAGAGAATACTCTTAATCTACTTGACGCATTGCCTATAAAAAGTAAGAAAATTTTATGCGGCGATTTTAATATTGACTTTGCTAATGTATGTGCTACTCAAAAGTCTTTGATCAATATTTTTGAATCATTCATTCTCACTATGCACGTAAATTCTCCAACTAGAATCACAGAAACAACATCTACAATTATAGATTACGTAGTCTCTGATTTTAAACCCGTTGATGTAGAGCACCAAGTAATTAGCTCAGGTCTCTCAGACCACGAAGCAGTATTTGCCAAATTTTTGATACCCCGTACAGCTCCAAAAAAAGTCCGTCAGCTAGGTAGAATTTTCTCTAAGCATAATTTCAAAAATTTCTATAATTTATGTCTAACTACTGATTGGAATGGTCTTTCTGAAGATATTGACTCTAAATTTTTAGACTTCTTAAATAAAATAATTATGTGTTTCAATACAGCTTTCCCCCTTCGCCCCATTAAAACTAAATGTCATAAATCTTGGACAACTAAAGGAATAAGAACATCATCTAAAAATATGATAATATACATGAGTGCATGTATATTAAAAAGTACACAGATAATCCCCTAATATTAAACTATATCAACAACTACAGAATATTGTATCGGAAAATCACCAAATCTGCTAAGAAAAACTATTACAAAAATCGCATCGCAAGAGCTAAAAACTCCTCCAAAGAAACCTGGTCTATAATAAATGACTTAAGGAATAAAACCCGTTCTTCAAACAGTGTAAATCCTAGCCCAGATGAACTAAACAATTATTTCGTAAATGTAAGTAAAAATATCAAATCTAACATAGCTCCGAGTCAGGATGCTCTCTCCTTCCTCCTACCTACTAAAAGGATCACTGAAAGTTTCTTCCTAAGACCAGTAGACAAGCATGAACTAGTGCAAACCATAAACAACATCCAAAATAAATTTTCCTGTGGAATTGATGGCCTGTCCACCAAAATATTTCTAAATATACAGATTTGTAGAAGTAATACTTTGACAGTTTTTATTAATATAATATATTCAATTTTTATCTGACCATACCGAAGTAGGGAATTTTGAAACTTTATAGTAATGTGAAATTTGAATTACAATATTACACGATATTACATAATTAGTACTTATTTTAGGTAGGTACTAAATTTGTACTTGGAGAAAGTAATATCGATTTTTATAAGAAAACTTGAAAAGTAAATTAATTTAGTTCCTATTTCTGATGTAAAACTTAAGTTTTGGTTTAAACCAAGAAAACAAATAAATTATAGTTTGTTCAACAAGGGTGGATATGATAGCAATATCACACAAAGACGAAGTTTGAGCACGACGTCGTATGCGGAGTACTCAATCGTCTGATTGTGATATGAACAATCCACTCGATATGGTCAGTATATTTTTTCTACGACCCACTAACGAAAATCTACAAATTTAAAAAATTATTTTAGGTTATTTAGACAAAATAACTAATTTTAAAATAATGTACGGAGGAATAAAAACAAAAATGCTATTATTTATCGAGTCTACACAAAAATTTTAATGTATATTTAATATCAATAACTAAAATATATATTGACAATTAGTTTAACAGAATTGTCACTTATTTAAAAAAATTTAAATAATAGGAGTTGGGTGACCAAAATATGAACTGTGATTTGTAGATTTAATTTTGTTAAAGTGTTCTCACTACCTAAAATGGATATGAAATATATTCGTAGTTGAACGCAATAACATACTTTTTCGTTTTGTAGTATGTGCGTAGATTGGCTAATATCCATGCACAGATTACAAAACGAAAAAGTATGCTATTGCCTTCAATTGAACGAATATATTTCATATCCATTCTAGGTAGTGAGAACACTGCAAAAAAAAATAAATTCGCCAATCACCGTTCATATTTTGATCAACCGACTGCTATTATTTTTAAAATTTTAAATAAATGACAATTCTGTCAAACTAATTGTCAGTATATTTTTTAGTTATTGAGATTAAACATACAATAAAATAAGTTATTCTTTTGGAAAACGTTAGCATGGATGACTAAAGGGTATTGGGTTAATTAATTCTAAAAGTGTGGTACAAATGTTATTTTTTGTAGCCAATTCTTCAAAATTATTTTGAAATATCTTTTCAATATTGAATATTAGTTCTATAAATTCATCATTTGACAGTTGCAGATTTCCAAATGTATCTGGATTGGCGTTATCATATGCCTTTAAAAAGCAATAAAAAGAAAAATCATCTAATTCAACGTGATCTTTGTTATATTTAAGACAGGTATCGCAGGAGTGGATCCGCAAGGCTTTTATTAAAAGGTAACCACACACATACCTGATAAAATTTTTCTGTATCAATTCGTCTTTACAATAATTTAGGGTGTTAATAATTTTATCATAAAATAAAATACAAGGTGTTCCATTTAAAAAACATACATTTTAATTTGCCTGGCAAAAACGTGACACCCTGTATATCCAAAGATATTTTTAAAATATGTAGGTATTTTTCAAATCCATATAACTTTTATTTAAAACTTTCTTGCGTGTCTACAACAAAATAATGAACAATAACGCACTAATGGGATACCCTGTATAAATTATATTTTTAACAATGAAAATTTCTTATAATGTGGTACTTATCGGTTTGGGTCCTTGGGAAAACTAAAGAATGTTTTCTTGCAGGTATAACCCTTATTAAAACAGCTTTTGACTGCACAAACAGAATGATGTCTTTTTTTTTCACTCATTCTACTCATAGCTAAAGAGTCACCAAAATAATAACAGTACCTTTAACTCAAACAAAATCAACGAAATTATAGGCTCCACGAAATTATACAATCAACGAAATTATACGCACGACTCAACACCTTACCTAAGTACGCTTCTGAACACCAAAACCGTCTTTTCCCTTCGAAGGCGGAGCTTAAGCGATGCGCGACGAAATCGACGCACACCGTTGCCGCCAAGAGAGTGTTTTAGCTGTATTGTATAAGCTGTGTTTCTACTTTTTGAAATTTAATCACAAATTCCAGTAATAAAGTGACTGTATGTATAACTGTATATATTTTGGTTTACGAAACGTTTCTTTAAAATCCATGATGGCCTAACGGCTAAGATATTTACCACCCACCGGAGAAGTTCGGGTTCGATTCCCGGCGCTGTGTTCTTATTTTATTTTTTTTTCCAAAAAATTGACTGACAATTCGAAGTTTTTTTTGCACTAGTGCAAAAAATAAGTTACTTTTTTGCACTAGTGCACAAAAGTAAGCTACTTTTTGCACTAGTGCAAAAAATTAAACTTTTGGCACAGTATATAGAGTAAAAAATAGTCACTTTTTGCACGATCGTAGAAAAATGTATTTCTGTAGCGTTTCTTGAACATATTTTTATAATTATCGGCTCTGCAACTTTTTCCGCAGAAGTCTGAGACATGTCACCAACATTATTTTCGTCATCCCCAGTAACTGTCGTACAGGAAGTGACACTAGAATCCAGACATTTTGGGTCTTCATCAGAGGCAGATGTATTGGCATGCACCTTAAAAGTGAATTTTTGTGATTGAAAGTGATGTCATAAACAATCAAATGTTCAGTATTTTAATAACATGCGATAATAGATACTATGTCCTATCAGACATATTCTAAAAGCCTACTAGAAAACAACAGAGTATTATAGATTAATTTGAAAATAATGAGAAAAAAGACAATAGCCAATTTTTGAAAATGCCATTAAGTTTTTCTAAAAAAATGGGAAGTCCCATTTTTTTCCATACCATTTATAGTTAACGAGATTCTCTATTAAAATATCCAATTTGGACACCTTGTATATTCTGGTTTGTCATGTTTGCCTATTTTGATCTATTTTTTTGTTAATTCATTTTAACATTTTTTCGAAATATTTGTTCCAAGAATTACTCGCGTTCATAAAATTAACTGTTCATAACGAATTGATTTGTTTTTGTTTGCAATAGTATACTTTTATAAATTTTAATTAAAGGATTATTTATTAAAAAAGTTAATTTTTACAGGTTTTACTTTTAATGGCGTGGCGTTAGTGGTAGAACCGTCGGTGGCATCAGGAAAGAAAAAGTAAGTGTTTATTTTTAGTTCAAATGCTTTAAAACGTATACACTAGGCAAAAAATGTGAAAAATTATTGAAACATTCTTCGTGACAAACAATATTAAAAAAAAAGAACTTTGATATTGACATTTAAGTTCAAATATTTGGTAAATACAAAGGTGAAACGTCTGAGATGATCAAGAGTGACTTTTTATGTACAGGCGATTTCATAAAGAGGTACTAAGTTGCCATTCGTTAAATCTATAAACAGATAAGAGAAACGTAGGATTTACTTGCACTAATGGGCCATCCTGTATTTCTATTTAGAGCTTTCGTGAATTTTCTTATACTAGGGTAATTTTAAACAAAATTTGTTGATTTTTTTAACCATATCCAAATGATTTCATTCAAATCAGAAATATATTCATTCATAGATTATTATGGATATATTTTATTCTTAATTTTATATAAATTCTTTTTTCACTAAAAGGATTTTTATATTTACCTAGACAACCCCAATTTTTTTTTTCAATAGCAAAGATATCGCTTCAAATACTTCTGTTTCGAAGATTCTAAAACTAGATCCAAGTTAGTAGTTATTACCTACTTAAAAAACAACGTGCATAGTAATAGAGCTATTATTTCAGGGTTTCGCACATATAATGGATGATCTGCTTTAGCACCCGGAACATTTGAAAAGCACTTCTTTAGTAAAGTCAATTAGTTGTAATTTGCAGATAAAATCATGACGCTACCAGTGGCGGGTTAAAGTTATAATTTTTATGTATGTAAAAAATCTTTTATTTTAAAAAATGGCTTTTAATCGAATGTTATAAATTTTGAAATAGACTAAATATGTCCATAAGTCCACTTAAATCATAAGGTATTGGAACTTCAAAATAAAAAACGAATTCATTATATTTTTTTAGTCGTTTATGTTTTTTTTTTAATTTATTGATAAAATAATAGACAGTCGCCGATAGAATTCTGATAGACATAGAGGATAATGTAAGCAAAATTTGTTGTGAACTAAAAAAATATGTTGTGTAAAAGTTTTATCGGTTTTGGAGTGTGGAATTATAAAAGAAAACAGTAATAGTATATAGTGTGATCCTGATGATTGAATGTTATCAGATATCAGATGAAGAAAAGTGACTAAACTTTTTTCTCAGTACGAATTAGGAGATAAAAAACCTAGTAAATTATACAGAGAGATGTTTAAATTGGCATTTGGACAAATGTCCAAAAAACTTATAATTATATCTTGCCTTAACAAATTACATACAACAGTTGAGCAAGTTATTCGAGGTTTTAAAGATAAATTGACTGAGGAAGAACTAATTAATATGGCTGATGGCATAATCAAAGCCTCAGTCAATGTTGTTTGTGCTGAGCAGGAAAGAAAAGATGTCATTGTTGTTAAAACTTATCAGCTATAGAAAGTAAACTAGATTAGTTAATTGACAAATTTTACTTCTATCTATAAGAGGGATCAATTAAAAAAGAGATTGTTAAAAAACTTTTCTATGGAACGGGAAACCAAATATAAAGACTATAGAAATAAATTAAATACATTAATAAAAAAAACTAAAAATGATTACTATCAAACTAAATTAAATGATGCTCACGGTGACTGTAAAAAAACGTGGAAAATAATCAATGATATAAATGGATACAAAAACAGTTCAAACATTTCAAATACTGATATAAATGAAAATGGAAGTTTAGTTAAAAATAATAAAGAAAAGGCAACCTTATTTAATAATTTCTTTATAAACTTGGGTAAAAATATGGCAAATAAATTCAAAAAAATTAAATTACCAAACAATTTCTTAGCTGATAATGCCATAAAAAAATTCTCTTTTTAGAACCAGTAACGGTTCCAGAAATAATAATATTAATTTCTAACTTAAAAAATAACTGTTCTGCAGGACCTGATAAAATAGAAACTAAACTCATTAAATATATTCATAAAGATGTAGTGACTCCCTTATCGCATATTATAAACCTTTCTTTGTCTAGTGGAATAATACCTTGTCAATGGAAACATACTATAGTTACTCCTATTTTTAAATCTGGGGATCATAGCAAAATGAATAACTATAGACCAATATCTGTTATAAATAATTTTGCAAAAATATTTGAACAAGCTGTCAAAAACAGATTAATAAAATTCCTAGACAAAAATAAAGTTCTATCGAAAATACAATTTGGATTCATAAAAAAATCCAGTACTGAAGATGCGACATTAAATCTACTTGAACCGATAATCCGCGCCTTGGATAGATCAAGTAAATGCCTAGCGGTTTTCCTTGATCTGGCAACAGATAGAACCCAAAAAGTAAAAATAGGGGATACATTAAGTGCCGCTTCAATAGTACAAATAGGAATACCACAGGGGACAGTATTGGGTCCAATTCTATTTTTAATTTACATAAATAGCATCTCCAACATAAATCATTTTAAAGGAAAACTTGTATGTTATGCTGATGACATTGCCCTTGTAGTGACTGGGACATCTTGGGATGAAGTAAAATTAAATACAGAAGCTTGCTTAAAAAAAATAAAAATTTATCTAGATTATAGTTTATTGACTCGAAACATTGAAAAACAAAATATATTACTTTTTCTCCTACTACAGCTGATCAACCTAAAATAGACGTTAAACTACATGACTCTAAATGCAATCATACTAGATGTAACTGTCCTATCTTGGAAAAAACAGTAGCAATAAAATATTTAGGTGTAATGATTGACCAGCACATAAGATGGAACGAACACGTTACTTACGTTACAAAACGCTTAAGAGTCTTGTTTACCAAATTTTATAACATTAGAGATATTCTTTCAAAAAACAATTTATTTATGATTTATAATTCGTTTTCCGAATCAATTTTAAGGTATTGTATAACGATATGGGGTGGTACTGTTAAAAGTACGTTACAAAATCTGCAAACTACATTAAATACATTAATTAAAATATTATTTAATAAGGATAGACTATATTCAACTCAACTACTATATCAAGAATTAAACATTTTTACTTTAAGACAATTATATACATATCAGTGTCTTCAAAGGGTATACAGAGATCAGGATAAACTACACAAGGTTTCATCAAAAACCAGAGCAACTACAAATTTAAATTTGAATGTAGACCTATTTCAAAAAACGGTAACACAAAAATCTTTCTTTTATTTTGGCCCCAAATTGTTTAATCTTCTCCCTTTATCAACGAAACAAATAACTAAATTAACTAAATTTAAAACTGAAATCAAGGAATTGATCCAAAATTCCCCAGATATGTTTGAAATATTTTAAATAAAACTGCAAATAACGTACATTATTTCTGGTGTCTTTTCAAGTATTTTTTACAATTTTTTAGCGTTAACTTCTGTTTAACTATACTACAGGAGAAAGTTTTAAACCTATCTCACTTTTTGGACCTGTCTTGCTTTAGTTTCCTATTACTCCTATTACTGAGTCGTTTTTCTTTTTAATTTTTTTTTGTACTTTTAAAACAATTTATTATTATATTTTTTTTATGGAAGGGATCACACAAGACAGGCATATATGCCTAGGTACGATCCCCTCCATGGATAAAAAAAAACTTGTAATCTGGTACGTAATATATTTGATTTGATTTGATTTGAAATGAATCTTTGAATTCAAGAAGCAGATCAAGATCCAGGAGTAGAAAATGGTCACCTCGACCTTCCAGTTCCAAACGTTTTTAAGAATCAAGGGATATTTGTTATTACCATAAAAGATTTAAAGAACGATCTACAAAATGTACAAAACCCTGTAAGTATGAAGATAATTTGGAAAACCATTAAGCCGGTCGTTAATGGCGACTAACGAATCTGGCAAAAGAAATTGTTGCCTTTTTATTAAAGACAATAATACCAATATTCAATTTTTAATTGACACTGGTGCTGATGTTTCAATGCTACCAAAAATATTAAATAAAAATCTAATGCCAACTTCTAAACCACTATACGCCGCAAATGGATCGAAAATTACCAAGTATGTAGAGAAGTTTTTATCTGTTAGTTTGGGATTAAGACGACATTTTGGATGGCAATTTATTATTGCTGACATAGATCAAGCAATCATAGGGGCTGAGTTTTTGATGAATTATGGAATATCTGTTGATCTACGAAACAATAAATTAAGAGATACAGAAACCAACATGTCAGAGGAAAACTACACATTTCAAACACTCCTATAATTAAAACCATCAGTAAGTCTTCTTCATATTATGAGTTATTGGTACAGTTTCCAAATTTGACCCGTACATCCTTAAAAGTTCAAAGAAATCGAATATAACTCATCAAGTCATAACAAAAGGACATCCTGTTTACTCCAAAGTACGAAGCGTAAACCCTGAAAAACTGAAAGTAGCAAAAGAAGAGTTTGAATTCTTACTAGAAAATGGGATCATACGGCCGTCTAAAAAAAAGTCCATGGGCAAGTCCATTACACATGGTTCGTAAGTCAAATGGGAGCTGAGATCTTGTGTAGATTATAAATTATTAAATGCCAAAACTGTTTCGGATCGATACCCATTACCTAATATAAAGGATTTCACGCACTATTTTTTCAAAAATTGATTTGTTTAGAGCCTTCCACAAAATTCCTGTAGATCCACAAGATATAGAGACAGCAGCTGTTATCACTCCATTTTGGCCTATACGAATATTTTAAAATGCCTTTCGGCTTGAAAAATACAGCTCAAACATGCCAAAGATTTGTAAACCAAATTACACATGATATTGAATTCTGCTTTCCTTATATTGATGATTTTTTAATTTTTTCACAAAATGAAACACAACATCAACAGCTCTTAAAGGAATTTGGTAAAAGAGAAATATTATTCCTTGGCTATATGGTTTTTTGTGGAGGTGTTAAACCGTCGGCCAAAAAATTTGAAGCTATATTAAATTACGATATGCCAACGGACTTAAAATCTTTGAGGCGTTTTCTCGGAATGGTAAATTTTTATAGATTACCTATCCCAAAAGTGGC